CACGTTGTTGTTGCAATTCATATTCTATACTTTGCCTTATTTTATTTTCTTGTTCTTTTATTTTTTCTTTTCGTCGAATAATGCTAGAATCATCATCATCATTATCGTCATCATCGTCATCACCATCATCATCACTACTAAAAGGATTTTTAACAGCAATTTCTTTGAATTGTCTCGTTTTTTCTTTTTCTTTTTGTTTTTGTTGAAATCCTTGGGATGATGACGATTCATCATTGATGTCCATTTTCTCTAAATCGAGAAGAAGAGTTTTATTATTAGTGGATCCCGCAGTATTTACTACAACTTCATGCTCTTTTCTATTTTTAGGAATGTCATCAAAAGACATCCAACATTCATCATCTACATCAAAAATACTCTTATTGTTGTTGTTGTTGTAGATTTTGTTTTTATCATCTTCAAAAGGATCCTTATGATTATTTTTGTTTTTGGTTTTGTTTTTGGTTTTATTTTTTGTTTTGGTTTTGGTCTTGGTTTTGGTCTTGGTTTTGTTTTTGGTTTTGATTTTTTTATCATCTTCATCAAAAAGATTCTTATAATAATTGTTGTTGTTATCGTTGTTTTCGTTTTTATCATCTTTTGAAGAAGAAGAAAAAGTGTTTTTATTGTGTGGTGTAGTTGGTGTCTGTGGTTCAATAATAATAGAGGAAGTAGTTGAATGTTCTTCTTCTTCAATTACATTTAATGTAAATTTAATGGTGGTTGCGCCATGGTTAGAAAGAAGTTCTTGTAGTTCCAAATCAGTTGATATTGTAATAATATCATCCTCTTCGTCAGTATAAGAAAGTGTGAATTTTGAAGTTGGTGAAAGTGTAAATAGCATACGAATTTTTTCCTCTAAATCAGACCATTTAGCAGAGTTTGATATAGAGAATTTACGTAAAATAGAATTGTGAAATATTTTTATGTTTGTCATTCTTTACAATTTTACAATTGAGAAAGAGAGTGAGAAAATGAAAATGAAAAAACCCAAAAATAAAATAGGATATGTTGTGCTTGTGACCTAGTTAGTCAGTTACACGCCGACCAACTTCCATAAAAGATTTAGTTGTTACGATAATTTTATTTTTATAATTTTATTATTATTATATTAATCAATTATTATTATAAAAATTTTATTAATCAATTAACACCTACATTCAAATTATGCAAAAGTGGATTAAATTTGTCAATGTGAGCCATAGACAAATTCATTCGCACCAAAATAACAATATAAAATCAACTTTTCTTTTTTTTAAAGTGGATGATGGCTTTTTTAAAGATTTATTTATTATACAATGCAATGAAGTTTTCTAAAAGTCCAAACCTCAAACTATTGTAAATGCCTTAAAAAAGAAGACTTGGAATAAAAAAATTAAAAGCAAGAAATAAGATTGAATTATATATAACAAGATTCTCTGTAAAATTCAGTTCTAATTAACCTTTTACTATGAAAAAAAAAAAAAATAGCTCAAATCCCAAGATATTATTATTATTAATGCCAAGTATGATATTATCGTTAGGGTGCCCAGGATTATGCTTAATTTCTGAGCATAATCGCATAATCACATCATCTACGTGTATAATTTACTTTTATGTAAGTGATTGATGATGATTATATATTAATATATATATTCAATTACGATTATAGAATGAAAAATGCATTAGAACGTTTGAGGAAAAAAAAGTCATTATAATAATCATTTTTACGTTGAAACTGGGAAAATATTGTCATTTTTGTAACCATATATACTATAAATCATGAGGAAAAATCAATTGTTGATAACCATATAGAATCAACGAAACATAAAGCTTGCTGAACAAAAACATAAAAAATAATCCACAACCTTTACAAAGCTCTTTGCTTTCTTTCACTAATAATGATCATGACAAAATCAATATTGAAGCATTTACTAAAGCTGATATTCCTCTGGATAAAATAGATAAATTAAAGTTTTTTTTTAATTCATATTGTAAGAATGGTAAGGAAATTTTCATATCAAAAAAAATTAAAATAAATTAATTTGAATATTTTAATGTAAACGAGTGGATTAATTAATTAAACCTGACCTGACCAATATTGATTATGGATGGGCGTCACAATAGTTAATTGATTGATCCCCTCTCATCTCTTCCAATGATTAATCAAAATATTATTTACCTGACTGTAGATTGTTCCAATGTTATTTTTTCAGGACAATTTACTTATAATATCTTTCTTTAATTCCTCAACACTATTGTAAGAATTATATCTTGAACACACATCTCCGTTTAATGTAAAACCAAATTCCCGATTATAAAATGATTTGCCAATATCTAAAAATAATAATAATAATAATAATAATAATAATAATAATCATAAACCATTATTTATCCCTTAAACGGTCAAAGTATTCTTTAGTAGTAACACAAAATAATTTTTTGATCACGATCTTGCATTCTTATTGGCCAATTTAACGATCTGCAAAGTAAAATAGTCGATCGACCAACTTTTAAGGAAGATTTTACAAGGACAACAACCGAATTTTTATTCACCGATCAATCAGCTGAATCTTAAAGATCATTTTCGTTTTAGGAAGTAATACCTTTAGAAAAAGTTTTTTATAACAGAAAAAAAATTTCAGCTATCAATAACCGAAAACCGTTTAAGGAATAAATAAAATTAATACCTGTTCCATAATTTAACCAACAACTAATTATTAGTATACTTTTATTACAATTTATAATTTTTCCATATCTTTTATAATTCCGTATGTAAAATTTCTATAGTAATAGAGATGTAATACATTTGATACCATTGTCCTTAATTTGTAAAGAGTTAACAAATAAATAGATTGATAAATTGCATCACCCAAGTAATGATAATACCAGGACCATGCAGAAATGGGGCATACTGCAACAAAACCAAACAAAGTGAACATTGGTATTACCAAGAATTTCAGGGATCAAAATTTAGTCATTTGTAATGTGATTACAATTATCAGTTTTATAATAATCCCATTTGTTATTTTAAGTGATATATAGTACTACTCCTATATAAAAATAGTTAATATGAAACTCATTTACATCAGATCTACCATGGAACCCAAGAATTATAGCACCATTAGAAGTATTTTAAAGAAAGAACAAGGTGAGAAAATTGCTCCTTACATTGCTTTATTTGCTTTTATTTGCTTTATTCGAATAAATCTTATTTGAATAGAAACCCTAACTACTACTCACAAAGAGCTTTAGAAATGTTTAACCAATAACTTAATTACAATATAAAAGAGCTATTAGTTTATTAAATTGAGCCAATGATTAACTAATAAATAGGATTAATTTTAAAAGAATATCTGATAAATATTGGCATTTTCAATATTTACTAATAGGCTTTTAGACTATATGATAAAAATATTATTAACTTATCAGTATGCTAATACCTTGATTACCTTTTTAAAGAATAACCAGGTTCTGATATTTGCTGATACCTCATTACCCAATTTGACATCATTCGACCAGTAAAAGAGAACCAATAGATTATATATAAGCAAAGAAAGATGGGAGCACAAAAGAATTTTAAATCATGCGCAAACATGATGGCTTGATTGACACAGTGGTGCAGTCTTGGTTTCCATGCAATTTTTTTATTGTATATTTTAAATACAATTAATCATACATCTTTAACAAAACAAACATAACTTGGCTATTTAATCATTTCCTTGCATGTGAATGCCTCCATCCATCAAATATTCATGATGGCCTTCAATACATTTGATACCATCATTGACATAACAAACAATTGCATCACCCAGGTAATAAATAATACCAAGGCCATGCATAAATGAAACTTTTAATAATGCCTGTCTACCCAGATCTCTGGGGTTCACAATAATAATAAATTACTTTTCCTGATTATCAATTATGGTTCCTTATGAATAATAAATCTGATGTTGATCGCAGGTGTCAGATTCAATTAAAATTTCCTATCACAAACAAGTCAACAGGTGCTTTCACACGCCTCATAACCATGGAATTTTTTCCACAGGTAAGGTGAAAACATGTTGGAAGGCTTTGGACAAAATTTTCCCTTATCCTACCCTCAGACCAGGCTTGCTGTCACCATATGGAGCATTGTTTGCTGATGAGAGTTGACATTTGTGTGATGATTGCTTTGTGTTATACCCCTCACTAGCATAAAAGTTGGCACCTGCAACTGGTTGAAAATTCTCCAACTCAGAAGGTTGTAACCTGGATTGCTGTTTTGATTTTTTTCCTGGATTCAGAGTTTTGAGTCCTGGGTTGCTGTAATTTTTATGAAAAAAAAAGTATTAATATTTAACAATTAATTATTTAAATGTTTATTTTGTTGAAAAAAATATACATTGATAGTGTACATTT